TTTATGTTCCTCACAGGAATTAGAGTGTGTTGGTTAATTTTTCTTTGTGAAATGGTACTATTTTTATAAACTTTATTTATTTATTTAGAGACGGAGTCTTGCTCTGTCGCCCAGGCTGGAGTGTAGTGGAGCCATCTCGGCTCACTGCAACCTCCGCCTCCCGGGTTCAAGCAATTCTCCTGCCTCAGCCTCCCAGGTAGCTGGGACTGCAGGCACTGCCACCATGCCCAGCTAATTTTTTGTATTTTTAGCAGAGACAGGGTTTCACCATATTAGCCAGGATGGTCTCGATCTCCTGACCTCATGATCCGCCCGCCTCAGCCTCCTAAAGTGCTGGGATTACAGGTGCGAGCCACTGCACATGGCCATAAACTTTATTTTTAATGTATAACTTGAAAAATAAATTTCAAACTGTGTAAATTATTAGTCCTGTAGTAACAATATTTTATTTGTTTTATTACATCAGTAATTTGCTAAAATTAGTCATAATCTAAGAGATGATCAGGCTTGCAAGACACTTGAAAAATGTCAAGACCCTATAAAACTGATTGGTGGTCAGAATTGTCAAAAACATCTTATTCTCTTCCCTTCACTAAATGTCAGTATTCTTGGCTCCTTTTCTAAAACTCTAATAATTGCATTTTTGTGTAACATTTTTTATGAAGGCCAAACATGGTGATCCATGTGTGTGATGAAGCAAAAAACTTGAAAGAAGATTTTACTTGCCCGCGAGATCTTTTGATATCAGAAATGAAGTACTTTGCTGAATATTTATCTATGGATGCCCAGCGCTGGGAAGAGGTGGACATTTCAGTTCATTGTGACGTTCACATTTTCAACTGGTTGATAAAATATGTTAAAAGGAACACTGAGGAGAATAAAGATTGTGAGATGCCCACTTTAGGTAAAAAACAATCTGTTGCTTATTTTGTAGTGAAATTTGTGTGTCACCCGGTAGTTTCTTCAAGCCAAAAGTGAAATATGGAAAATCGTTTGGACACCAGTGTTTATGCTCATATTACTAACAGCCTTTTAGGAAACTGATAATCTCATCTTTAGAAAATTATAGTAAATTTATGGCAAACAAACAGATCTCTAGATCAGCAGTTCACAATGTATGGTATATGGACCAGTGGGATACTAGGGACCCTTTTAGGGTGTCTACAAGGTCAAAACGTTTGCATAATAATACCAAGATGTCACTTGACTTTCTCACTGTGTTGCTCAGATGGTACCAAAGCAATAGTGGGTAAAACTGTTGAAGCTTTAGACAAGATCAAGGCAGGGGCACCAAACTGTACTAGTAGTAAGTACATAGTTGCATAGTTAATAAGAAAAAATCTAGTTTCACTTAAGAATGTCCTTGGTGAAGCAGTAAAATTACTAATTTTATTAAATCTTGACCATTGAGTATACATCTCTTTACTGTGATGAAATGGAAAGTCCACGTCTGCTACACACCAACAACATATGATTCTCCTGAGGAAAAGTACTTGTGTGATTGTTTTCAGTCCTGAAGTAGATTAGCTGCTCTTTTAAAAATTGAAAACCATTTTTACTTGAGAGAACAACTGACAGAGAAATAATGGTAATTCAGACTTAGGTATTTGGCAGACATTTTCTTGAAAATGAGCTCTTCACTTAAAGCTGAAAGCATTTGTCACCTGCTGTCAGTGACAAAATTCAGGGTTTCGAGTGAGAATTACAGTTTTGGAAAACTTACCTGCTTCCATGTGCTTGACAGAAGGCTTCTCAATACTTGACTTTTCTGATGAGATTGGTGATCATATTAATGACTGTGATTTTTAAATGTATTGTGCAATGAAGTATTTCAACATTTGGAATATCTGTATAATTCACTGAGCCAACATTTTCCAAATGACCAATGCATTTTATTTTCAAAAAGTCACACATGGGTGAAAGATTCATGCAAAGTGCAAGATAAATTAGATAATTTTGTTGTTAACAGTCAGAAAAGTTCACTGACACAATTCAGATACCATTGCAATTAACCTTTAAGAAACTACTATTTGTCAAGTTTGGTGTAACATCAAAGAAGGCTAGCCACAAATTGAATGCAGAAACAGATATGAGAATCCAGTTGTCTTCTATTAAGTCAGACATTAAAGAGATTTACAAAAAATGTCAAACAGTGCTACTCTTCACTCTATTTTTTGTTCTTGTTGAGAAAGAGTCCGCTCTGTCACCCAGGCTGGAGTGCAACAGCGTGATCTCAGCTCACTGCAACCTCTGCCTCCTGGGTTCAGGTGATTCTCCTGCCTCAGCCTCCCGAGTAGCTGGGATTATAGGCGCATGCCACCACGCCTGGCTAATTTTTGTATTTTTAGTAGAGACAGGGTTTTGCCTTATCAGGCTGGTCTCAAACTCCTGACCTCAGTTGATCCGCCCGCCTCAGCTGCCCAAAGTGCTGAGATAACAGGCGTGAGCCACGGCGCCTGGCCTAATATTTTTCATTTTAGAAAAGGTAGTTATTTTAGGCAGGCATGGTGGCTCACACCTGTAGTCCCAGCACTTTGGGAGGCTGAGGTGGGTGGATCACTTGAGGCCAGGAGTTCGAGACCAGCCTGGCCAACATGGCAAAACCCCGTCTCTACTAAAGATACAAAAATTAGCTTGTCGCGGTGGTGCCCACCTGTAATCCCAGCTACTTGGGAGGGTTAGGCATGAGAATTGCTTGAGCCCATGAGGTAGAGGCTGCAGTGAGCCAAAATTGCACCACCGCATTCCACCCTGGGCGACAGAGTGAGACCCTTCCTAAAAAAAAACAAAACGTAGTTATTTTAATAAAAATATGTTAACATGTGATAGGTTTTTTGTTCTTTGTAAATGAATTCATATTTTTTTATTTTCTCTATTTTAATTTCTAATGTGATAAATACTGGCAGATACAACCCACATAAAGAAAAACCCTTTGGGATTCTCAGTTTTTAAGTTTGTAAAGGGGTTCTCAGATCAAAAGTTCAAGAACCAGTGTTCTAAATGATAGCATACTACTAGTATTACTAGTAGAATTACTGTAATGAGAATAATTACTGAGTAATATTTCAATGGGCATACACTTGTATGATCACACTTGTGGTTTAATAGTCTTTCTGTGCACTAGAATTGCTATTTACAGTAGTATTAAAATAGAACTCTTATTGGAAAATATATCTATGCCGACAGTGTAAAAGTTTTTGAAAAAAGTTAGTAATTTATTGTATTATTTAGTGACCACATTAATAGGAGAGATTTCTAGTGGTCCTTAAATAAAAATTACAAGATTGCTAAATCAAAAATTTCAGCCAGAATCCAGAGATTCCAGACTAACCAGCTATAATATGTATGTGTTAAATAAAAGTCAAAACATGTAGAGTGTAGTAAAGGTAAAAGAAATGCAGCAAGCCTGGCCAGCATAGTGAAACCCTGTCCCTACTAAAAATCCAAAAAATATTAACCTGGTATGGTGGTGTGTGCCTGTAGTCCAGGCTACTCGGGGAGGCTGAAGCAGGAGAATCTCTTGAACCCAGGAGGCAGAGGTTGCAGTGAGCAGAGATTGTGCCACTGCACTCCAGCCTGGCGACAGAGCGAGACTCTGTCTCAATTTAAAAAACAAACTAACAAACAAAAACAAAAAACAAAAAAAAAAAACGGTCTCTGTGGCTCACGCCTGTAATCCTAGCACATTGGGAGGCCGAGGTGGGCGGATCACCTGAGGTCAGGAGGCGAGACTAGCCTGGCTAACATGGTGAAACCCCGTCTATACTAAAAGTACAGAAATTAACCGGGCGTGGTTGAGGGCGCCAGTAGTCCCAGCTACTCGGGAGGCTGAGGCAGGAGAATCGCTTGAAACCGGAAGGCGGAGGTTGCAGTGAGCCGAGATCGCGCCACTACACTCCAGTCTGGGCGAAGGAGCGAGACTGTCTCAAAAAAGAAAAAAAGAAATGCAGCAAAGCTAGTCATTCTGTTATCTTTACCTTAAATCAGTGGCTATAAATGTAAATATTTACAAAAAAAAAAAAGTCTTCTAACCAGGAAAACTACCAAAATGCTTAATTACATTTCTAATAATCCAGCCACTGGTTCCTAACTGGGAGCTTTTTCACCAGCTGCTTCCTCCCTTCACCATTTGTGTTTAAGAGACTTGACTGGGCGCGGTGGCTCACGCCTGTCATCCCAGCACTTTGGGAGGCCAAGGCGGGCGGATCACGAGGTCAAGAGATGGAGACCATCCTGGCCAACATGACGAAACTCTGTCTCTACTAAAAATACAAAAATTAGCTGGGTGTGATGGTGAACAAGTGTAGTCCCAGCTACGTGGGAGGCTGAGGCAGGAGACTCTCTTAAACCCAGGAACAGAGGTTGCAGTGAGCAGAGATTGCACCACTGCACTCTGGCCTGGCAACAGAGTGAGACTCCCTCTCAAAAAAAAAAAAAAAAAAAAAAGCCTTGAATCTAGAATTGTTATTTAAAGAGACAGATTGGGATTACTTATTTTAACTATTGTCTGCTTAGTCGTTTATTTAGAATTGTCTTAGTACTGTAATGATGCAAAACACAGTTTTCTTTCCTTAAACATACCTCATGGGAGAGGACAGGTTTGCTAAACTACAGCATCAGGCAGCATCTCCTTTTCTGTATGCCTGAAAGCTCACTCATTATGCCTTTAGGAAGTAAGTTTAGTACTCTGCAGTAGTAAATTTTTTATCTTTCAGAATCTTTTAAAATTAAATATTTGTTCATAACAAGCATTGAACTCTTTTTAAAGAGTTTAATAACAAATGCTCTCATTAATCATTTAAAAAGTTTTCTATTACTTGTGTATGCAATTAATTATAGTCTCAATTATCTTTTCCCTGATTTAGTCAAGGAGAAGATTGCATATGTCATATCTTTAACTGGAGTCTTTTACTTTATATGAATCCAACACCAGAATAAATTTATTGTGCATTTTCTCCATAACCTAAGTTTTAACATTGAATTTTCTTTATTTTGTGTATCTAACCCATAAGCTATAATAAGGTTATATTAAATTATTCTTGTTACAGTAATGTCCTCTTTTAAGGTGAGAAGGAGCCTGTTCAGAGGAGATTGGGGTACTCATCAAAAGGATAATCTAATTTCTTTCTTTTTTTTTTTAGAGCCAGGAAATGTCATTTCAATTCTTATTTCTTCAGAGTTTTTAAAAATGGATTCACTGGTAAGTATTGACTTAAAAAATCAAAGTGCTTCTGTTCACTTATGCTTTCTTTTCCTTCAAGTATCTCAAAAATTCTGAGACACTTTATTAAAATTATTGTTAATTAAAAAAAATTAAAAAATTGTTAGTTCAAGAGTATAATTTCTTTTTTTTTGAGACAGAGTCTCTCTCTGTCGCCCAGGCTGGAATGCAGTGGGATGATCTCAGCTCACTGCAACCTCTGCTTCCCTGGCTCAAGTGATCCTCCTACCTCAGCCTCCCTAGTAGCTTGGACTACAGGCGCATGCCACTACACCCGGCTAATTTTTCTATTTTTTATAGAGACGGGGTTTTGCTATGTTGCCCAGGCTGGTCTCGAACTGCTAATCTCAAGCAATCCACCTGCCTTGGCCTCCCAAAATGCTGTAATTATAGGTGTGAGCCACCACACACAGCCAGAACGCTCCTTTTCTATATTAGCAGATGTGAAGTTTATTTATTTGACTCTTCGGGGTTTGTACTAGTCCCTGTATTCTTTTATTTTTTAAATTAAATAGAGATGGGGTGAGGTGGTCTTGTTATGTTACTCAGGCTGGTCTCAAACTCCTGGGCTCAAGTGATCCTCCTGCCTCAGCCACCTGAAGTGCTGGGATATAGATGTGAGCCACCATGCCTGGCCAATTACCTGTATTCTTTCTACTCCTTAGCTCTTCCCCATTTAGCCCAGCTGGTATCAGTTGCTTCAGGGAAGGGTTACGGAAAAAAAGCAGAGACTAAATGAGTTTTTGAGTTTTGAAATTTTTGAAACCTTTGAATTTTGAAATCTAAGCCCTAAAGGATAATTTTTATGCTGTAAGCATAAATATTTGGAAGAATACATGATTATCCTCTCTTTACTTTTAAAGTAAATAAACATACCTCAGGTTGGAGAGAGAGAGGATGTAAGGAAGAGAGCAAACCCACCATAAGTGAAAATTCTGAATTGACTGAAATTTTGTTTCTGACACCCAGGGAAAAGGAGGCTTAAAGTTCTAACTAAGTTTAATTATAAGAAGTTACAGACCCGGCACAGTGGCTCACGCCTGTAATCCTAGCACTTGGGAGGCCAAGGCAGGTGGATCACGAGGTCAGGAGTTCAAGACCAGCCTAGCCAACATGGTGAAACCCTGTCTCTACTAAAAATACAAAAATTAGCCAGGCGTGGTGGCGGGCACCTGTGAGCCTAGGAATGCTGAGGCAGGAGAATTGCTTGAACCCAGGAGGTGGAGGTTGCAGTGAGCTGAGATTGTGCCACAGCACTCCAGCCTGGGTGACAGAAGACTCCATCTCAGGAAGAAAAAAAAAAAAAAAAAGTAGTTACATATTCTGTACACTTGAGTTTTTAGACTAAAATTTATACCTGCCACAATTTTAAAAGATTCATTATTATTATTTGAAATATTCTAAAGAAGGTTGAAAATAATTTTTTAGGTATGTATATATGCTGTTACAAATTTGACCTGCTGGATTGCCTTTGGAACAGTATAGATTAAGTCAAATAGGCAAATCCCAGTTAGTACCTAGCAATATATGGGTTAGACTTTTGATGAATTTTATCTTTGAAAGGTATTGCTATGACATTGTCCTACATGCTACTATTTTCAACATTTATTTTCTGTGATTTTTTAGGTTGAACAGTGTATTCAGTATTGCCACAAAAATATGAATGCCATAGTAGCTACCCCATGCAACATGAACTGTATTAATGCAAATCTTCTCACACGTATAGCTGATCTGTTCACACACAATGAAGTTGATGATTTAAAGGACAAAAAAGATAAATTTAGAAGGTAATTTCAAAAATTTAATTTTAAACCTAATATTCCTGTTAAAAGAAATATATTTGTTTCATGTAGTGAAATATTCTTTTTTTTTTTTTTTTTTGAGAAAAGTTTTCACTGTATTGTTCAGGCTGGAGTTCAGTGATGCAATCTTGGCTCACTGTAGCCTCAACCTCCTGAGCTCAAGTGATTCTCCTACCTCAGCCTCCGAAGTAGCTGGGACTACAGGCGTGTACCACCATGCCCAGCTAACTTAGAAAAAAATTAACTTTTTGTAGAGACAGGGTCTCACTTTGTTTCCCAGGCAACAAAGTTGCCCAGTTTTTGAAATTAATTTTTACTCTCTCTTTTCATTTATAGTTAGCTTATTATTATTATTTTGAGATGGTCTCTCTCTGTTGCCCAGGCTGGAGTGCAGTAGCAAGATCTTAGCCACAACTTTCACCTTCAGGCTCAAGTGATCCTTCCACCTCAGTCCAAGTAGGTGGAACCACAGGCACACGCCACCATGCAGAGCTAATTTTTGTATTTTTTGTAGAGATGGGGGTTTGCCACGTTGCCCATCCTGGTCTTGAATTCCTGGGCTCAAACGATCCAACCGCCTTGGCCTCCCAAAGTGCTGGGATTACAGGTGTGAGCCACCATGCCTGGCCAAAATACTCTATTTTTAGAATATATTTAGAAATATATTTCTATTTTATTTTAAATGAAGTAAGTAAAGTGAAGTAAAATTTATCCAGAGCCAATGGCTCAAGATAAAAATTAGTAATTAGTTACTTTGTATAATGGACATATGAATATATAGTGATAGTGAATTATGTTAATTATGAAGATACTACTGAAGAGGCTGAGGTGGGATAATTACTTGAGGCAGGTGTTCAAAGCTGTAGGGCACTGCTGTTATCCCTGTGAATAGCCACTGCATTCCAGCCTGGGCAATATAGTGAGACCCTTTTCTAAAAAACTAAAAATTATTAAAACATACCTTAGATAAAGGGAAAAGTGGTATGAAATGAGGTCAGCAGTGGTTATATCATTTAGGGGCTCTTTAGGTCATAGCCAGGAGGATATACTTTAGGTGTGAATGGAAGCAGGGGAGTGACGTGATCTGATTTGTTTTTAAGAGACCATTTTGGTTGCTATGTGGAGAATAGATGTTAGGGATTTAAGAAGCAAGGAGACCTGTTCAGAGGCTGGTGTAGTAGTCTGTTGAGAAATGAAAGGGTTTGCACTAGGGTAGAAACAGCAGAGCTGGAAAGAAGTAGATGGACTCAGTTGTTAGATTTATGAATGTAATGATGTGGGAAGAGAGAGGATTCCAGGATAATTATTAGGTTTTCAGTTTGAGTAACTAAGTGGATGGTAGTGCTATTAATGGAGAAAGGAAACACTGGGAGGGGAAGGAATGGGGTAAGGGAAATCAAGGATAGATTTAGGTCTTTTTGAGATTATTTAACATACTTCTTGGACATTCAAGTAGCATGACAAGTAGATACTTGGGTATATTAGTCTGGAGTTTAGGTCAAAGGTCAGGACTTAAAATAGAAAGTTAAGAGTAGATGAGATTTGAAACCATGGAACTGGATGAGACCATACTTTTTTTGTATGTCCTGTTCAATAAATCTTTGCCTCCCTAAAAGTGGTGAAGACATTGTCCTATGTTTTTCTGTTATTCATCTTGAATTAATTTTTTTATATGGTATGAGGTAGGGGTCAAGGTTCATTTTCTTTTTTTCTCGAATAGATATCTAGTTGACACAATACCATATGTTAAAAAGACCATCCTTTCCCCCACTGAATTGCAGTGGTACGTTTACTATATGTTTCTGAATTGTCCTTTTTGTTCTGTTGATTTCTTTGTCTATCCTTGTATCAGTAGCACA